TTGAGATAACACTAGTTTGTCTACTTCAGATAAATTATCATATAAATACTATTTCAGGAGATATTAAGTGTATTTATACTAGAAGTTTCCCTTACTCTATCTATAGAATAATATATTGAATTGTTTTAAGTTCAAATGAAGTTTAAGGTTCATACGATGGATAAGTGACAATTCTTCGATGAGATGAAGGAATTTCAAAATATATTTTTATAGACATTAAGAAACTTCACCTTTACTTCCTTATTTTCGCCTGTTACTCCCAATGGAGCATAGGCCGCTGACCAGCATTCTCCAACCCACTCTGTCCTGGGCCTTCTTTTCTAGTTCCATCCAATTCTTGTTCATTTTTCTCATGTATATCTCAATTTCTCGGCGTAATGTGTTCTTTGGTCTTCCTCTTTTCCTTTCGCCTTGAGGATTTCATGTGAGGGCTTGTCTTGTGACGCAGTTGGGTGCTTTCCTCAATGTGTGTCCTATCCACTTCCAGCGCTTCTTCCTGATTTCTTCCTCCGCTGGGATCTGGTTTGTTCTCTCCCACAGTAATTTGTTGCTAATAGTGTCCGGCCAATGGATCTGAAGTATTTTGCGTAAACAACTTCGCCTACCACGTACTAATTTCGTGTTATAAACATATACTTGTTAGAAGATTCTAAATGAATCCTCCGTACTGATACACCAGGTAGCTATTCATGAATGCGAAAATTCTCATTAAATCTGTTAATAGAAGTTATTTAAACAGAGTATTCATTCTATTTCACTGTTTCTCATCAGCTACATACAACTTTAAATTACAATTACTAGCATAAATATAATTATTAACAAATGTTTAGCATACTTTAGTTTGTAAAGTTTAGATAAATGTTTGACATGCAACCAATATCAAAATCATCCACCTGAGCTACAAATCTTCTCAACCATCTCAATAATCAGAAGAATATGGGATACAAAGTGTATGAATAAACATAGACAAAATCGAAATGTATTAACATGTTGAAAAGTAATAATCCGGAGTAGAACAGATGTTTTGGTTACCAGTAATGATAATAAAAATGAAAGAAGTGGAGAAATTTATAACTGATTAAGTAATCACTCGACATGAGAAAATAAATAAATTGTTGAACATAAAACTGTGTAAAAGATGAATATCAGAAGATGGAAAAGAAAAAGGAAGAGAAGAAATGGATGAAGACAGCGTTGAAAAAAAATAATTAAAAATTATTCAAGGTTATTCGATTAAAAATTCAATCACCATGTAAAAGAAATACAAATCACATTTACCTTATGTGTACATAGGTCAGGTTGAGAGTGTTTAATAGAGATCGCATCAGTAAAACGCATTAAGTTTGATATACTTCGTCTACTGATCATTTAAAATGTATTATTTACATTCACTTCATGTTCACTGTCTGGAAGATATCTGAAAATGCCCTTATGAAGACTTCATTTCCTTTCAAACGTAGGTTTCTACAAACGTCTTTATAAATCTAATAGAAACTGTTCTCTCTTTTCTTTCTAGAAACTTGCTACTGCAGGTACATATAAATTCATAGATGTTACTGGAGTTGGCGACGGAAGGGTATCGACCTAACTTTGAATGGCATAACGGAAACTCCATGTTGAATAGTGAAACTAATTGGAGTTTTCTTTCATATTCTATCGTAAGCATTATGCTTGCATGAGAGTTGTTGAAATTAATAAGTAGTTAAGAAGCGTGATCCATATCATCACAGGTACTTATCCTATAATCGACGTATATAGAGCCGCTTATTCAGTCGAAATCTTCAGGTTATAGACATTGTATTCCTTGAGCACATGAATATTAGCAAAAAGAGAAACCGGATTCATACGCGCGACACAAGTCACTTCATTTGTGTGCAACGTGTGATACTGCCCGTTTGCCCAGACCGAAACAGGTGGTTGTATTAGGGAGCCACACCCAAAGCCTTCGACCTAAAGGTCTGATCCACAAGGCAGTGGAGCAATGTCATGAAATGCAGTCCCATGGTAGCAGGTGACAAACGATTGGTTCATACGAGATTTATTCGTTCAGGATACTGAAGACCATGTGCACCATTGGTTTTCCAACTCCCCTAGGTGGATCCTCCATATTTACTAACCCGGTTAAAGCGACAGGCATTCGATTTTTGTCCTCTCAGTTTCGCAAACAACAGTAATGTCACGAGAAGGCAGTGAGTAGGGCTTCCCTTACAGAGTGGCTGTATACGCATGACCATATGAGAGCATTTTGAGAGAGAGATGGCTCTCCCCACCTTCGGCCATAGAAAGGAATTCGGGGGTAAGTGGACAAGTGGAGAACTCCACTGTTTCAATGAAACACTATGATATCGCAATCTCTCATAACACAAATCAAAATTCATAGTTTCTATATCAAGGACTGGTCTTTTTCAAATCATCATTGAAAACTAACGATCACTGGGAGGATGATACGTCTTCGTACGGGATTCCTCAAAAGTGCTCACATACGACTCTGCTATCAGAGACAGAAACTAGCACCTCCCATCTCATGCGTGAATGCTGAGCATCGAAACCAGTATGTGGGTATCTGATATGTCTTTGGAATTGAACGCTACTTTGTTATATCTGGTCGTCGCTGATTATTATATCGGAATCATTTATTTCTTATACTTGTAAATCGGGAAATCAACTCTATTCTCATGACGCGATAGTGAGAACACGAAGACTGGTTCAAATGAATATTTATTAACCCCAAAACACGACGACGATGATGACAACAACCCTAGTCATTTATATATTGATCCGTTCACCCATTCTCATTAATAATTAGGATGAACTCACATATATAACGAATAATGAGGATCGTAACAAATCATATGTTACATGTCATGCTGAGTATAGTTCATGCCAATTTAATACAATAATACAGTATGTCATACAGAATAAAATATCATACGGGAAAACAGAAACAAATACTAGATTGAGTTAAAAAGGAATTAATGTTGAACAAAAATCATAATGAGTAAATTAATCTAATCTTAACTTTTCCCGTCATATCAGCATCCACTTGGGTGTATGTTTAGTTCCAATCAATTCACAATTCTGTGCAACCATCGCCCATTCTCTGTAGTGTGTAACTTTTTCACATACAAAGTTGTTGACCTCCAGTTTCCACAGCCTTTCAGTACGATTCCTGAGATTCGTTCTCTAAGCGAGGTAGTAGTTTGTCGGTCAGAGGTTCAACTTCCAAGTACAAAGTCGTTGATGCTCACTTATGAGGAGTTCCATACTAGCACGAAATGGCCATACAGACCTTTATGATTTTCGTTGGTGGTCTAGATAACATCAGTTCATATCTTAAACTATGAAAAATGATCAGTTATTATTATTAGCTTAATTGTCTGAGGTAGGTTTGGTTGACAAATTTATTTGTGTAAAGAGGAAAATATTATTATTATTGCAATTGGTTTATTATTAAAATTCTGATTAGTTTATGTGTAGCAAACATAAAATATTTATAGACGTTTGGTTACTGGTTTCAACTAAATACCATACAATAACAATCGTTCTAACATCAAAACTGTTACATACCAAAAGTTATTTCAGTCAAATGAATATGCCTTTGCTCAGCGAATGTTTCGTTGCTATTCTTTGCTATTTAAAATCGCTATTCATTTAACTTTATTTGAGTAGAGCATTGACCGATTCAGTCAACATTTCTAATTATGCCTAACTGGTTAATTGTTCTCTGAAGAGGTGGCATACACTGAGTCACGAAACCTAACAAAATTTTATTTTTCTACTCATTGTGATGTTACAAATATATTAATCTATTTATAGCAATCTACCCAATGTTCAATTTGTTAGAAATTATCAAGTCAAACCTTGGTAATGATACCTATGGCGAAATAACGTTTTGTTTGATGCAAAGTTCATATGTATGTACCTGGGTCAAAATGGTAAACTTATATATGAGTTAGCGAATCTCGATAAACTTAAGACATATTACATACATATCATTTTACATAATATTGACGTTTAGTATGCAGGGTGACAGATCCCAAAGTAAAAGTCACTTGCATATCGATGGCCCTCTGCAAGATTCAAAGCCAGGACCTATCAGTCTTGAGCGCGAGCGCTTAACCATTAGACCACTGAGCTAGCCGGCATCCAATGGTGTTAATGTCTAACGTCAACCAATCCACGAATTTCTGTGACCATCTTCCATTGTATTGAGTTAGAGATCTGTTTCTACCTGACACGGTTTAATCCCACTAGTCTTATCTTTTCACTAGAACTCTAGGTTTTCAATGAATGGTCTAACAACAATCGGTTCATGATCTCAATCAAATTTTTATCTATTAACGATAGGTTAGTTGGTATTTTACAAATCATTACAATTTAATAAACGTGAATTTTATTTAATTAAGCTGATACATGATTTTAATTTATAGTTATTCAAAAACCAAACAAAATTTACCCTTAACAACTAGTTGATTCACGGATTGAAATCATGAGTCAGTTGAAGCTAGACCACCATTGAAAACCTGGAAGCACTGGACGGCCGTTTCGTCCTAGTATGGGACTCCTCAGCAGTGCGCATCCACTACTGACTTTGCGCGCGAGCACTTAATCATTAGACCACTGAGCCGGCATCCAACGGTGTTAATGTCTAACTTCAACCAATCCAGGTTTTCAATGGTGGTCTAGCTTCAACTGACTCATGATTTCAATCTGTGAAAATTTCTAAAAATCTACACAAACCCTTTCTGATAACTAGTTGATTCCTTTATTTTACATTATGTGAAACGTTTAAAAAAATGTTTAGGTGACTAGCATTTGATTGGTTCATTTAATCTATATCACACATAACAGCCAATCAAAATTCAAATATAAACAACCTATCAGAATAAAATATTGAAATTTAATTTTAAACGTTATTAATATTATTGTTGTCAGGGTTGTTTTGTTGGATATTTACCATTAAAAAAAATTAAAACACTCAAACATAATACCAAATAATTATGTCATATACTAATGAAACTAATTTACAATTTTCATTTACATTTTATTATTATGTACGTTATCTTGGTGATTGTGAAAATATTGATAATCCAAATAAATATGGTAAACCATTATCATTACCAGAGAAATGGCAACAAATTCCTATATTATGTTTAACATTTATTGCACTTATAGTCAATATTATATCATTATTTATATTTATATTTGGTGAATACGCAATAAATCGTTTAACAAGATACAATGAAATGAAAACAAGAACAATATCATCAACATTATCAAAGAATAAATTTATTACTAAAAAACATAATCGATCAAGAAGTTCCTTTTTAACAAGTTTAATTATATTAAGTATATTTGAAGTCATTTTCAATTTATTTGCATTTTTATTTAAATTAATTGAAATCTTTTCACCATATTTTATTCATCAACAAATAACATTGAATGTCAATAATAAGCATATACCACCAGATATAAAAATAATTATAATACCAATATTACATAATATAATTATGTTTATTGCTGATATTGGTTTAATGTGCAGAAATTGGTGTATATGTTTAATAACAATTGCACGTGCTGAAGTTGTTATATGGCCATTAGGTTCGAAATCATGGCAATGTATATTAAGAAAACCATATAAATTTATATTTATATTTATGATCTTTTTTATTATATCAATTATAATATCCGCTTTTAAACATATAGATTATATTGGTTTATTATGTTATGATAAAAGAAGTCAAAAATATGGTTTATGGTCAGAAGAATATTATTGGAGTTATGATGGTTTTTTAAAATATATGTCATTTATTGTATTACCATATCAAGCAGTTATACCATGGTTTATTATTACTCTATTTACTATACTTATTTTATTTAGATTAAAACCATGGAAAAATGACAAAAATTTAATTTTATTTACTAATAATACAAAATCTTTAGAGGATATACCTGATATACAAAAATCAGAACAACAACAACAACAATGTTGTGTACAACAAGATGCTTTAAGGAAACGCCAACAAGGTCAAATTAAAGCAACAAGAATTGTATTAGTTGTTGCTATTTTATTTGGTTTATTCGAGTGTATGCATTTCATTGTATCAATATGTCAAACAACAAAACTTATAACTAATAATTCTATAAATCGTATATTAGAAACAATTGGTAATACATTTATAGCAACTGATTCTATATGTAATTTCTTTATATTCATATCAATGATGTTATATTTTCGTCAGTTATTTGCAAAAATATTTCTTTGTAAAGAAATTAATCAAAATATGAATACTACTACTACTACTACTACGCTTACTACTACTACTAATAATAATAGTAATAATAATAATAGTACTGTTCCACAAAAGAACACATCATATACTTCTGTTAATCAAACATATATGACTGATGTGAATGATATGAATAAATTGAATAGTGAACGTCCATAAATTATAGAAGTTTGATTCATTAAAACAAAAATTGAAAAAAAACTAAAACACAGTTACCTATTGAAAATCTACAATACTTCTTGGCATTATATTAATATAATTTGCTTAATAAGGTCATATTTTATAAATAATTATTGTTAAGTTATTACAATTTCGTAAAACATTCCTTTTCTCTTCCTTACATAATAAACTATCTTCTCCATAAGATCGAAGTAATACATTAATCATTGACCATTATTCGTTTTTGCACTCAGGCAAGATCATAGCCTATATTCGAATCAATTCACTTATGTGGCACATATGTATTCGGTGCCCACTTGTATTAATATTTATGTGTTCAAACAAATAAATAAGTCATTATTATTATTGCTTCAATACATGGTTCAGGTATGTTTTTGTTCATCCAAGTTCAATCAATTATATGTTTGTCATTTGTTTTCTTTTAAAAGAAAAATATTTTATCGCTTGTCTTCAAATGCGTATATGTAATAATTGTGATTTTGAAGAAAATAAAAGTAATACTACTGATAATTTACATAGATTTCTTCTTTCTTACTGATTTAAAGTAATTTGAAATTATTTAATCTTTCAGAAATGGTAGTTTATTACAAGTACTTGCCCGTAGCCCCTTCCAGCCAAACAAGTTGGTGAAACCTAGTAGGCCATTCTCGAGAGAAATAGGCCATATCGAAGCTCGGCACAACTACCGGTGTTTGAATAGCTGTTTTTGCAACCGGTTGGAGTTTGCCCTGTAAGGAGTAACCCCGTAGATTACAAGCACCACTTGTATCAATTTTTTGTCGTTTTTCCATCCAACAATAATTCTGCTGAGATTCTTTGTGGACTTCGTAATCGCTTTAAGAGTATGGGTTGAGTAGGTGATTAGTCTGATCTCTACCACCCGGGTTACCGCTCACGTTAGTTCATGGGTCATCCGTCCTACTATCCAAAAGGCACGACGCCGACGTGTGAGTCGGGTTTCGCCTCCCATTACAAGTACTTACTTCATTTATAAAATTACTATACTACTTGTTCCATTAACAATATAAATTTAAAACAATTAGTCCCTTTGATAAATTTTGATAATCCAATGAGAAGACGTAGTTTATCACAATTATGTGATATATTTGCGCAATTTCGAACAATCTGATCACACATACTTGTTAAGAACATTTATATATAAAATCGTAAAAGGCCAACTAAACAGGTTAAGGGTAAGTCATAACAAAGGAAAAATATTAAAGTACATAAAGAACAAATGTGATTACCACTCTGGATAATAAATAGTATTACCAGGATAGGTTAAGTGTAAGGACAAATTGTTTCTGAACACATAAAGGGGGTTTCAATTTTCGTATAACCAAGGCATCAATAAACCTTAGTATACGTCCTTGAAGGCTTTTGTACAACACAACAAATGCTGATTTGATATCAACCTTATGACCCGTCTCAATCAAATGTTTCGCAATGGATGGTGATGTCAGTCTATCCTGTGATCTTATTTGACCATTAGAATTCATCTGATTCTGCAACCATTTTGGTTTATCATTATATGTGAAAATTATATTTGAAATATTCTCAGCGATTGAAATTTAACTAATTCCAAGTTAGCTGGACGAAACGTTGGAATTAGTTAAATCACAATCGCTGAGAATATTTCAAATATAATTTTCACATATAATGACTTCTCTATACTCGGCGCTCAATTACTGTCAAACTATTCATTTTGGTATATGTTCACCTACCCTTAATTACAAATCACGATTGCTCCTCCCTATGTACGTGTTTCCACACATACATATAAATTGATAGACACAATGTGATGTGTAACAATCGCTATTGTGCTGTTTGGGCTTTTGGTGAAAAACAGACCTTGTCTTTTCGATAATGACAAGTTGGGCTGCATAAAATGTCCGATTTATGGCTAATTTAAGTCTCTGTTTCAACATGAGACTATTTGTGTCACCTCTGAATGGTAACGTAATATAAACTCGCTTTTTGGGTGCCAGAAGCGTCATAGGTCTGGTCGTATTGCATTATCGAAACAATATAAATGTCAATGAACATAGTCTTTATTATTACTAATTCCTCTAAATAATATATTGATTTCTTTAGTAAACTAAAACTCTTCCTGTATCCTCTTTTTGTTTATTTCTAATTCTGTTAAGGAGTATCTGTTGCAGATGTTACGATATGTATTGACAAGTCAGTAATTACATTTATACATTTTAACAATATTTGGAGCTCGAAATAACTATTAACCTAAACTAAAGTCATAAATTAGAACTAAGTAACGTAAAAATTTAGTTGGTTTATAAAGCTGCGATTTGAAGAAATACCGCAACCATCACGGAAAATGTAGATGTATGTACAAATAGCTGCTTACACGAAACACTTCAGATCTATTGGCCAGTGTTCATCAGTAATCACCTACTGTGACAGAGATCAAAGCAAATGACGATTGAGGAGGAAATCAGAGAAGGATTCTGAAAATAACTAGAGCACACTACGGAAATCACCAGACCAAAACTTAGAGCAAGCTTAAATTTAGGATCATTAAGGTAAAAAAAAAGACCAACCACATAACAAACGGTGCCAGAAACTGAACTTAGACATTAAGATCATGAACAGTAATTGACAATATCTAGTAAGAAAAGACTGGAACAGATTTACCTGAAGATTCCTAATACTCAGTCTTTTCCCCATAAAACATAACAGACTTAAATTTAAATCAACATTGATTAACTAGGTATCAACTCAAAGCTATAAAATTATGGGATGCCGGCTCAGTGGTCTAGAGGTTAAACATTGGCGCGCGAGACCGATAGGTTCTGGATTCGAATCTCACGAGGTTGGATCGTGGATGTGCACTGCTGAGGAGTCTCATACTAGGTCGGGACAGCCGTCCAGTGCTTACAGGTTTTTCATGGTGACCTAGCTTCAATTGTCTTATGAAATCAACTATTAAAAAAATAAAATTATTTCTCTGATTTAAACAAAACATACATTTAAATTAATTAGATATTGAGATAAATAATTTAAAAAAACATCAGTTAATCTTTGTTGATAAAAACTGGAACTGTCTATCATAACCTTCATTATTCAAGTGTTTTTTCTTGTATATTACATTTTCTATTCAATATATAGGTCATATGGTGATAATTCTGATAGTAATATCAGGCAAATATTACTGACAATGTCTAATTTCTGTTAAAATGTGTTATGTAATAATGTAAGTTATCTGATAGACTTAGTAAATAGCAATTCTAATTGCGTGATAAGATTTATGAGCATGATATTAAATAATAGTTATGTTAAAGCAACTCTTCTAGAATCAATTTTGTTTATGGTTAATTGCCTTTCAAGCTCTTTTATTAATTTATTCTAATAAAAAATGTTATTCGGAAAGTAACAATTTGTCTATCTCTTTGCATTATTATCATCACTATCATGTCTGTATAAACGTGAACTCTTGATCGATCATATGTGACAGCCTACTCAAATAAGTCTCTCTAGCTTCAATGTTGATCGCTTAAATATCGCTCGGTGACTTACTCTATTTCCCAAATATATATGTGCTCGAACTCTATTATTAGCCTTGATTCGATTTGATTATACATTCGACTATGTATTCACTCACTCACTCACTCACTCACTCACTCACTCACTCACTCACTCACTCACTCACTCACTCACTCACTCACTCACTCACTCACTCACTCACTCACTCACTCACTCACTCACTCACTCACTCACTCACTCACTCACTCACTCACTCACTCACTCACTCACTCACTCACTCACTCTCACACACACATTAGCCTCTCTGCTCCAAAGTCGCTCTATGTGCTTATAACTTTATTATCTGTGTTATCCGCTAACAAATTGTAACTGTCGTATCTTATTACCTTCTGAATTCAAACAGCGTTGGGATTTATATAATCACAGTTAACGAGATGATTGATTAACGAAGCTAAGCTATTACAATGTGATAAACAATTTGAGTTTATTTGTGACACAACTATTCATATATATCTAAATAAATGAAGATGAAAATAACTTCATTAATACAAAACTATATATAATAAGATTAAGTATAATGTATTTTCAGTCTAGCTGTTAACATATAACTAATGATGTTTTCATAAACAAAGCCCTACTGAGTATTATTGCAGTTTGAATGAACGTTAAAATGTTTGTGAGTGAAAAATTTCAATACAAGGTATGTTCACTTTTATTCGTTTTAATGATTAATATTATGGTTCTAGGTTTTAAGCAGCTGAGGGGATTCATGAAATAATCCGTGTCTGGTAGAGACAGATATCTATCTCAGTACAATCGAAGATGGTCGCGCAATTTCATGAATTAGTTGAGGTTAGATATTATACCGTTGGATGCCGGTTCAGTGGTCTAGATACTAAGCGTTCGCGCACAGTAATGATAGGTTCTTGGTTGGAATCTCACGAGGCGCGATCGTGGGTGCGCACCTCTGAGGAGTCCCACAATAGAACGAAACTGCTGTCCAATGCTTCCAGGTTTCTAATGGTGGTCTAACATCAATCGGTTCACGATCTCAATCAACAATAATGTATTCATGTTATTGTACTACGATAGTTATTTTTTTTTATTGGAAAATATATTTAATTATGTATGATGGATTCCTAATAAAAGTGAATTTTGTCTGAAATTTGTTTTTAAAAAATACTGACACTAACAACAAAATCACAAAATATAAAGCAATATCGATTAGTTATTCCCTACAGTACTTGACATATTTGACTTCACAGTAGTTTCAATGATAACGACTGATTGTTCCATATTACAACAATTTATTCAGTAATTCAATGAATGCAGAAAGCGAAACCTTATAAGGTAATACATTAAAATGCACCAGCAACTGTTCATTGAAAGAGAGGTTTAAAATAAATTTGACCTAAGGCCGGAATAATTTATGTAAAGTAACTTAACAATTAACAGTGAAAGTGAGACTTAAGTAAAGT